ATTCAATTATATTATATGTATATATTCAATTTTATTGTAAAAAGATGACCCAGAAACCTTTTTGAATTGCAAAGTGGCATCCCATTTTAAAACTTTTTAATCAAATTTTTCCGAATTTTTATTTGGCTTCTTGTCAATTTTTTTAACACATTTCCTTGCACATAATTTACATATCGTCACGTGAAATGTAAAAAGACGTAACCACGTCGTAAATGAAATGGAAAAAGGCGCGACTATGAAATCCATCATATAGTAAATCAAAAAGTTAATATTGAATTTTTTATTGGTTATGACTTTTGGCCTTTCAACGACGATGTGTGTTACGTCTTTTTGCATTTCAGATGACGATATGTAATACGAAATTTTTTTAAATAAAAAAATGCGTCACGGTCAGAAAAAAGAATTAAAACTTGCACTTTGCTGTATCAGAATTTAATGGGCTATAAAACTGCATACCAAAAAAAAAATCTAAAGCATCTAAAAGATTTTTAGTCGTTTGTTGACAACAAATTTGAAGTCCTCGGTTAAAAATCTACAAAGAAAAGTCCACACAATCAGAAACCAGTTTTTTTTTACTTATGCAAAGTATTAATTTTTTTCGAAAGTTAATTTTTCAACAAAATTTTTGTGGGTTGAATGTAATGACACTATTTTTCCCTTGTAGGCGATTATGTCAGCTTTCGAACCCATATTTTTCCATCGTCTTACCATATTTCTATCGTGAGATTTACGATTTTGTCCATCGACACTCCCAAATCGTACAGTGTGCGGCGCCTGGGCGATTTGAAGAACACAATTCGAATGCAAATGTTGTTGTTGTTAAATGCATTTTGGTATGATGAGTTGATGTCTCCAAAGACTTGATATTTATACCTTGCCTGCTTCCCAAGAAGAGAAAATCTTCTGTTTACGGCGATAACAACCGAAAGAGAATAATAAACGTTCATCTTAGAGACTCGTTGAGAAGCAAAATATGGGTTTCAGAACCAATCAGTGAATTAGCTGCTCAAATTTGACCCGATAAAGGAGGTCCATTGCCCCTTTAATCAGACACCTGCTCAACTCGGTCCGTTTATAGGAGTCAGTACTTTCCACTGCCTAATGGAAAGACATGCGAGTAGAAGAGAGGGCTTTCCAGTGAAAAATATTGTTGAGACGAAAATAAAATCGAAAGCGTCGAAAACTTTCTCTGCCACTTTTCTTCCTTGGTGGCGTTGCCTTCACCAATAGTTTCCCAACCGTCTCTCTAGAATTTTTGTCGCTTTGTAGGATAATGTAACTGTTTGGTTTTATATCTTGGAAAGTTGTCGGCATCAATGCCTATTCTAAGTCTGAATATAAAGGGAAGAATAACTCCTGTGAACAGCAGATCATTAGAGCTCGGTAGGCAATATTTATCGATAAACAAGAAACCAAATCGACCAAGTTCAGATATGAGGACCAAACCCCACATGGCAAGTACGACATTGAAAAGCTCTAGTCACAGCTGTAAACCAGCGTCTTTGGGACTCGATATGTTTGTGCATACAGTACCCGAAAAAATAGCACAACAACCACAATGGAAGGACTAAGTGCGGAAAGATCGATCTCCATTCAGTTTGAATAACTGGCGTAACTTCCCAAACAAGACAGGTCATTTCCGATGTTTTAGATCTCGACAAACGACCAGGAGCTGAGTTGGTATAAAGGAAAGAAAAGAAAAAGTATCTAGGTATGCAGTCTATGCTAAAAAATATTTGTAACCATAAATAAGGACATCACTAAGAACAGCCATCTAAAAAGCACCACTTTTTACAGCCAATATCCTCAGCACAACATTCTCAATCAGCATAAATTCCTTGAATTGCAATGCGAAGTTTTCATTCCTATTGAATTGACCGCCTTCAATTGGTCCCTACCGTAGAATTGCACTTAATAGCTTCTCCGCAGCAATTTACTATCCTTGCACTCAGCCGCGGCATTCCACTCACACATACATACCTACTTACATTCTAACAAAAAAAACATATCTGAACGCGAAGACAACCACAAAAGCCAACCCGCTCAACTCCCTCTACTTGCACCGACTCAAAAGAGCTGTCAATATGACATATTTCAATTTCTGCTACCTACACCGCCAACAACTTCAAAAGCGATCGCAACGCAAACTCACTGCCACTGCCGGACAATTTGAAACAAAACCTACAGCTACACTCTCAACTGGACTCCGTTGAAGAAGAGCCGCCCGCCTTCCAACATTGCCGCCTAGAAATATTTTGATTGCCGAACATTGTCAACATTGCAGCGATGATTCTTTCAGTCGCGCCTCTTCTTCTTCTTCGTCTTTCGGCTCTATTGCCTGCCAGTTGTCATTGCTGGTTGCTCCTGCTCTGGTTGGTATGCACTTGCCAATGTTGCACAACCCGCACAATACAATTGTGGTAGTAAATAGTTGTGGCAGCTCTGAAGTGTATTGCTACTGTTTTGCTTTCAGTTGCTGTTGTTTTTGGTTTTTTTTAGTGGCCATCCACCGCCCAGGCCGTGGGACGCACGCGCTCCAATGTCGTTGAAGTTGAGCTGTTGCTGCGCCCCCATTCGCCCCCTTTCGCTTTGGCAAAATGTCTGGTTCGCGTCATTGTCATTTAGTTGCCACAGTTTGTTGATGTTATTCACATTGCGGCGCATTGTTGGCGGTTTGCTAAATCGCTCCATTGCCGCCTTTGTTATTTTGTTACTTTGTCGTTTGCCGTGGTCGCGAGGGCGGCTTACATCAAAGCGTGCCGCACCGCTGCCACTATTCGATTACGCTGCTGGTGCTGCCAGTGGGCGCATGCGTTGCCGCGCATCATTTCAGCGCAATTTTTGTCATTGCATCTGGAAGTTTTGCCTCGAAGCGCTGCCAATCGTCCGCCTCTCGTCGTCGTCGTCGTCAATATTGTGGTCCTGTTAGCAGTTTGGCGGCGGTTTTTATAATTGCAGCCACTGTTTGTTGCTACCGTTGTTAAACGCTGCCTCCTGCCACCATCGCTTCAATAAGAATTGCGTTCAACTGTCGCCCTACGTTGAAGTATTTCAGATATTGGCTGATAGTAGGAATTCATTGATGTGCTTTTATGGTTTACCGACAGCTGTATACTCATACAAGATGGCAAATTAAGCTGAGTGTGTGTGTGTGTGTGTGTGGGAAAAAATCGGGAGTTTACAAATGTCGGAAGCCTCATCGTACTTAGTCCGATCGAAGGAGTTGCTAAGGACTATGTTAGCTTTTGAATACCTGAGTAGGACCTTGAGAAATTTGGTTAAAGACTTTGGAGCTTCGATCCTTAAAAGTGATGGTTTGTTGAGATAGAGACCCAAGCGAGGGCGCACTCAATCCGTTGGAGTAGTCGATGCGCAGTAATACAGGTTGGATGGAAGAGCTCCAGGTTGATGCAATGAACGTAAAGCTTTGTGCTCAAACCACCTCCCGACGAAATACCGGGAGGGGAACGATACATGACGGTAAGAGGTTGGGTTTGGGTTAAAGTCGATGCTTCTTCTTAGTAAAAAAAAGAGAAGAAAGTTGCTACCCAGCGCAGTCATTCCAATTCAAAACCGAGCAATCGAAACTGATACAAATCTTCCCTGATAACCTACCTCACACACACTCAAACACTCATCCGCACCACGTACCAGTGCAATGGCGGTTCTATCCCAGCAAATTTACACACACACACACATCGATCAAGATAACATTTTAATTCACTTAAAACTGAGCGAACGTACTGCTGGTGCGAGGGCAAGCGAAAGGAAATTGAAAATTAGAATCTGCGCGCATCCACCGACAATATTAGCGAAGGAGCACCAGAATGGCCGATGTTTTGATTGTACCAGATTGAAGTGCGGCCAAAGAGTTGTTGCCTTAAAAGGCCAACAAGCCAACTTGGCGACGTTCGAGGAGCTACATTTGCCTCCCAAGCGCGAGTTGGTGGAATATTGAAGTCGTTGCTGCAATGGGTGCAGAAAGAGTCGCGGACGGCGGCGACTGCGCACGCGTGTTCATACTTTCGCAATCGACATATTGAGAACGGCACTAGTACATACCAACATACCTACATAGATAGGCGCAAAGTCAGCGATGCTGTCGCAGTCGATTCTAGAGCAATGTGTTCACGTAAATTCAGTTCATTTAATGCCTTGTTAGCTTAATTGAGCTATCGCCTAATTAGTCGCAGAATCTCGCCTTATCGGTTAGCAAAACATTTTAATCTTAACAGCAAACAAGTGCGTGCATGTTGTAGTACGCGAGTATCTATGCGATACGCCACGAACTTGCGATACTCGTGCTCGCACTTTGCACTGTATCTGCTGGTTGTATTTGATCGTTGCAACACAGCGCGCAAAGCCATGGAAATTGCACAAATGCCAAAGTGTAGGCACGACGGGAGGGCGATGTGCGCGGCAAAATGTGGCGATTGGTGTGAATACACTGGTACGAAATGCAGTTAATGAAATTTTTACACTCAAATAAATAGCTTTGGGGACTCTACATACTATGTAGAGGTGAACCACACACTGGCGGTCATTTATAATTAGATTAGGTTCGAAAGACTTTGCCCAGACGGCATGGAGGCCTATTGTACATACCGTGAGAGACTTCACCAACCCTATGCCTAAGTGATCTTGAACCAGTTAGTTTTCTGGCAAGCCTAGTCCAACGAAACCTTGCGTCAATTTGTTTATAGGTTTTCAAAACTTTTTTGCCAGAAACCTGAAACCATTTCTTATGTTGGATTTCCAATAGGCATTGAATGACAAAATAGTAATGACAAACTTGGGCATTATAAAATATTTTTATCATTACCAAAAAAAAAAGAAATTGCTGAACTTTTTTAGGCTCTTTCAAACTTCTCAGCTATAATAGAAATTCAGTTCAAGGCTCCATGTCTGGCAGACAACGGAAAAGGTGAAAGATGCCTACTTAATAGCAAATATATCCGCTTAGAAAAACAATAAATGTCCTTATATCTTTTATTCCCCGTCTCATTTATTACCAGTGGAATATTCTTTTCAATTTCTTTAATAAACATTAACTTTAAGTTAGATGCTTCTACACAAACCTTAGCACCGTCAGGATTCACTCTCATAGTTTACGAAGAGATGAACAATGGAAAACCAAGTACCCACAGCGCCACCTACCAACCCGAAAATCACCAGAAATAAGTCTTGCCACAAATAGATTTTACATGGTCCGAATCCGAAGCTGTAACGCATGCAAAAGTCCATCACACCGGGAAAAATCAAACCCAGATAGGAGAGTGAAAAAGAGCCAATGAGCGAAAGTATCAGCACCAGTTCCGAACTCATGACTGCCGCCATCACTGAAATGTTTACACTCTTGTCAACGAAAGGCAGAAAGTGGGTTTGATGGCATTTTTCAAAATTACCTGTTCCCAAAACAATGGCAATGCGCAACACATACTCCAGCGGATGTGACTCCTTCAGCCCAAGATAGTCTGCGTATCGACGCCAACACACCTGAATCGTAATGTAGCCTTGCAAGGAAAATGAGAAAAATATTGCCACTGCGAACATCAGCTTTGCCAAGCGTGGAAAGCTAGAAAAATAAGCGAGAATTATAAATTTGTTAAGTGACAATGAAAACAAACGTATGTACATATCATCCAGAGGCAAATTCGATGTTATGCTATCCTTAACCATATCGCCGTAGTGCCAGTAGCCAAATAAACCGATCAAAATGTAGAGCAACAGCGATGTGCCTAGGCCCCAATTCAAAAGGCCACACAAACCCAAAAAATCCTTGGGCAATTTCATTTTGGCTTCAATTGAAATTATCTGCTCAATCAATCAATAAATCAAAGATCATTTCTT